AGATTCAAATGGGACAGCACCACAATACGATTTGGGTTTTCAAACATGGAAGTGAAAAATAAATAAAACACAGAAGTGACTTCTGATCATCCCTGGGTACGGGGCACTTGTTATACCCCAAAGGACGTGTGAAAATGATGAAGTCTGGGGCCATTTCATGCACGAATACATAACTTCACAGGCCCATATATAGTATGAACTTACATGTTCATATATGATACACACACACATCTGTGCGCACATCTGTGTGGCCGCCGCATGACACCAAGTGACCTGCACTAAACAATAGCGAGCAAGTGTGGCCTCCACCTGCAGCACTGAGGACCTGCTGCTGCCCGGCCCCTGGCGCAGGGAGCTATGCTTGCAGACGCTATACTGCTATAGTCAGTTTGGCTCCTGCGGCCTCTCAGAGGGAGCTCCTAGGGGTGCACGTCCTTCCTGCCACCTGGGCCCTTCCCCAGATGCTCCCTGGTCACACGCTGGTCCTCCTCAGAAGGAGGACGTCCTTCTCTGCGGAGGCTCAGGGCCATTGCGCCTGGAGCCAGCTGCAGGCCCCCAGCGGGGACAACACATACCCCCGTACCCCCCGCCCCCCGCCCAACTACCAGCACAGCTTCCCCACCTCTTTGCACGGAGGCACTAGCTTCAGACCGTGTCCCCAGGGCCCCTGCGTCCTCAGAGACTCTCCAGTAGGAGCACTTGAATTTCATTTTAACTATTTGCAAACTATTTTAACATATTTAATGTTATTTTTATGATATAACAGAAAATAGTTGACATCTTGTGGAGTCCCCCCGAACATGTTAACAAAAGCAAAAACTTCATAATTTGCTTTTATGAAGCTTGAAAGAAGCTTTTCATCTCCTGTTTGCTTAATCAAAGGAAATCTTGATACTATGAATTGAGCTACATAAAAACATAATATTTGAAACTGCTCGTTGGTATAAATCCAAGTTTTCTTTCTATTTTAACAACCAATTTATATCAATGTGTGGCAATGAATTAGGTGCTAAGATAATGTGATTTTGCCAACTTCATCCACAACATCCACCTTCTATGTTTTTTTTGTGTCCAGCAGATCCACTGTTTCTACTGATTTCTTTGGTGTGTGTTATAAACGTCACTGGACGTTTATTCACTCAAAATGAATGCTGATAAGAAGCTACTCTTCTCTGCCTTACTTGTAACGGCATTCCTCCCAGGATCTCCTTTGAGCAGAAGAATGTGGCTGCTGAAAAGGTTTAGGAACAAAATGGACCAGAGGCCCCCTTAGCTCAAAACTTCCGTAAGCCTGTGAAGGAGACAGAAGGACATTTAGGCCTTGGCCAAGTTCTTAGCGACTGAGCAGCAAAAGGCATTTGCCAGCGACTAAAAACTGAAGGCATCCAAGTCTAGGTGTGTTATCTAATTCCTTCTAATTCATTTTTCCACACTCGTGCCTCCTTTTAGTTTATTTGGATGTTGGGCGTATTTTTTTCAAATTTCTAATTTTCAGGACTTTCCCTGGAGGTTAGCCCGGGAGCAGCCCGGGCTAGGTAAGGTAACCCTTTCCACAGTAATAGCTTCATCTGTACTTACGAGAGTAGAATATTTGCTTTTTACTCCTCTTGGCTCAAAAAGCATGCCGCAACCCTTGAATTTAAAAGGGTGAAATAATATAAATAAGTAAAACAAAAGTAACAAAGATGGAATGCTACTGATTTCGTCTAAATTACCCAAGGATGCATATATGTGACTAGAAAATCTTGCAATCATATTGCTTTCAATTTTTTTAAAAGATTTATTTATTTATTGATTTATTCATTTATTCATTTATTCATTTATTTATTTGTGAGAGACACACAGAGAGAGAGATGTAGAGGGATAAGCAGGCTCCATGCAGGGAGCCCGAAAGGGACTCGATCCCAGATGCCGGGATCACGACCTGAGCCAAAGGCAGCCACCCAACCACTGAGCCACCCAGACGTCCCTTGCTTTTGAATTTTACACTAAAGGTATAATAATTCTAGTTATAGCAGCATAACTATTCATAGCACAAATCCATGGGCGAGCTTTATGGCTGCCTTGTGGGGAAGGAGTATGAAAATAGGAGATTTTGAAGTCTCACCTTTGGTCCATGAAAGCCCAGTAAGGCCCACTTTGTGCCCTGGGCACGGCCTCAACATTTTTGAATGAGGTAACTTCCTCCCTAGGACCCAGAACCGGCTATGTAATTTGCAGGTCCCAGGGCAAAATTAAAAATGTAGGAGCACTTGTCCGAATATTAAGACTTTCAAGATGGTGACCAGAGAGCTTTAAACCAAGCACAGGGCCCTTCTGAGCACAGGGCCCCGTGTGACTGACCGACCAGTCCGTCCTTGCCCATGAAGCCAGCCCTGCCAAGGCCAGAGGGACACATTTGTGAATGCACGAGCCTTTTCAAGGGTGGGTTCGTTGCATCATCTTTGTGCAAAAAAAAGAATAGCACATTTTTATCTTCGCTCAAACGCAGCCTGAGGAAAGGTAATGAAATTATACAGATCTTAAATTCTTTTTTAGAAGCTTTCCATCACAAAAATTGTGGCTTTTTGAACCTTGAATATCTCTTTTAGTAATTGCCAAAAAAAAAAAACCCCTTTCCCTTTTTTTTGTTGAAATAATACCTACTTACAGTGGAGAAGTCCAAATAAGGTCTCTATTTGAGACCTGTGTTAAAAATGTTATGCCAAAGTCAGATTTCTGGTTTTGATGAAGTGTTGTGGTCATGTTATCCTTGGGGGGAGCTGTGTGAAGAGTACACAGGAACTCCCTGACCTATTTTTACAACTTATGAGCCAAATTATTTCAGCAAAATCATGTAATTTTATTTTTTTTAAGATTTTATTTTACTTTTTAAAGTAAGATCCAGGGACGCCTGGAGGGGTGGGGGGCTCAGTGGCTGAGTGTCTGCCTTCGGCTCAGGGTGTGATCCCAGGGTCCTGGAATCGAGTCTCGCATCGGGGCCCCCACAGGGAGCCTGCTTCTCCCTCTGCCTCTGTCTCTGCCTCTTTCTGTGTCTCATGAATAAATAAAGACTTAAAAAACTAGTCAGATCCATGCCCATCATGACCCTGAGATCCAGAGTCACATGCTCTACCAACTGAGCCAGCCAGGCACCCTGCTCCCAGGCACCAGGAGAAAAATCATTTTAAAAAGCAAAGCAATAGTTCTAGAATTTGTACACAGAGTATATGAAGACGTGATGTGGGAGGATGTCGGGGCTCAGTTGGCAGGAGGCCTGAAATCTGGTTGGGGCCAAAGCCAATCTTGTAATCCTGTAACCTTACAGATTATCTCGGGCACCCTTAGATGGACATGAGGAAAGGTATTTATTTGTGGGTGTTATAAAAAGAGCACTGGGTGTTATTCTGTATGTTGGCAAATTGAACACCAATAAAAAATAAATTCATCATAAAAAAAATAAAATAAAATAAAAAGCATCATATTTGATCAGGACTCTCAGATAATGACTCTTAACCAACAGTAACCTTAGCTAAATGGGAAGGTTTTCATTGACTGCATTCGTTCTCCGAGTACCACAGAATCTTCTAGAAGACCCACCTCTCAAGGGAACCAACTGCCAATCACTAGGGGGCTTACCGCAGGCAGGGAACTTCCGTAATACACTGGAGTCCTCGTGATAAAGTATCCTTGGTCCAGCGCCCTCGCCGCCGGACGTAGCGTGCCACACGGATTCTAGGGGGAAATGCTGATTTACTCGGAAGATAATGCGTGTGTGTCCTTCCACGCCCTTCCCTTGCCCTGCACTCGCATACACACAGAAGCTGGCCTTACGACGAGGAGAGGGGGAACGGGAGGGGAAGAGGAAAGGTGGAGAGATGCGAGAGAAGATTCTGGAAAGGCTGCATGTGGCCGGCCGAGACTCTGGGTGGGGACCCCAACATTCTACCCGTAACATCAAGTACATGAGCACAGAAGACCTCGCCAGTGACGCAGACAAATGAAACTGCCTAGATTTAGGGATGAGGCTGTCGGCAATTTCTGCTTTGGGTCTCTATTATTTTATTAGGTCCTTCAATAACGAAACAAAACTTCAAAGAGAATAAAGTAGGCAATGGATCTTAACAATGGTTAAAGACAGTCCATGCTTTGCACCAGATTTTAAAATACCAGGTTGCCCAATAAATCATGTGATGACTTAACTTAGGGGAGGTGTGTGAATGGCAGGCAGCCCAGTGAACCAGTCACCGTCGGTGCAGTGACTTTCTGCGGGCCACCGTGAAGGGAACCCGCAGACACATGGAGAAATAGGAGCCAGGGACCCCTCGGCCTCCTCCCCTGTAGATGAAGAAATGTGATCACCCTCCCCCAGGGGTTCAGGTGAAGTGTCCGTGAGTTTGTGCTTGCCGGGTGCACCCCCTGGGGCGTGGGCAGGGAATCCGAGCTGGGTTTGTGCTTAGGGGGAGCCATGCGTCTGGCCTCTGGAAGCTAACAGACCAGTCAGGGAGGAGGTGCCCACCGCCGGCCCAGCCCACACGGCATCGGTGTGCGGGACAGGAAAGAGCGCCCCCCCCCCCGGGAGCATGGATGGGTGGACGGAATGCCCGCTGGACTCACCCCTGCTCGCCCCCAGCCAGGCACCTGCTCAATAATTTATGACAGCCCTGAATTAACTCGCTTTTTCCCAAGTGGGATCGCCTACGGTGTAGAGAAGGGAGGTTTAACCAGTTTGGGAGCGTGAGCTTAAATGATGTTGAATTGCATGGTGAGAAAATCATTTCCCTTCCGACTCCTCATCCCACTCCTGATGGTGTGGGGCGGGGGGTGTCTCCGTCTGGGGCCAGCATGGCTCTCCTAGCCCTGCCTTCCTCAGACACCCTATGCCTTTGGCAGGGGCGTTCTCTACCCAGAGTGAGTACAGGCTCCATTTCTATTATGTCTATTCTCCACTTCTCTGCTCCTCATACCAGTAAAACTGGTTTTTGTTTGTTTGTTCGTTTGTTTGTTTGAAATATAGAATGTCCTGTTTAAATAAAGGTACTTTATTTGGACATAAGTCCATCTAGACAAAGAAATATGGTCCAAAGTACACAAGCATAAGTGGCATGTGCATGCGGCAAAAGGTCTTGAAGGTGGCACTGGCCAGGCTGAAGTCTGGGCACTGGGCCCTGATGCTGCTGACTTGCTAGGGTGCATGGAGTCACGGGGCTTAGCAGGTGAGGCTGGGCGCAGGGAGGCGTGGTGCGGGCTGGCACAAGGACCTGGGGGGTGTGGGGGGGTGTTCCCTGCCACAGGGGCCCACCACAAAGCCACGTCTCTGTCTAAACCCAAGCAGCAGAGAGGCCACGCTTACCTGAGCACCCAGCTGGGCACCAGCCTCGGCTGCGTTGAGCAACAGGACTGACACCTGATCCGGCCTTCCCTGTGGGACACATGGAAAGAAGTATGACGGGGTTGAAATTACAGACGGCAGACATGAAAGCGGAGGGCAAGGAATGACATCCCCGCCATGTATCGACGCCAACCCCAAAACCTCCAGGCCCCGGAAAATACACCCATCCCGTAAATCCAGAGGACTCCTTTGGAATTACTGGCCGGGAGGTGGAGTTTCTCGTTGTTCTGTGTCTCGTGGAAGTGATGGTAAAAAAAAGAAAGTCTCCTGTTTCAACGGGGTCTCAGAACCTAAGGCCCTGCTCTTCCAGGGCTGGTGGCGATGCTCTCGCAGTCCCCAGGGTTGGGAGGTGCTGTGTGCACGGTCTCGTTCATCTCTCAGTCAACACCTGTCCACTGAGGGCCCAAATGTTGCTGGGGCTGGATTTCTCTTCCCGGGCGCAGGGGCATCTACGCGATCTTGCAGGTCATCTTGATCAGCGGGTGTCCGATGCCCGAACACGACAGGGTGGTGGAATCAGCAGCGGCATCTTGGATGAAGCGAGTCCTCCCAAGACCACGGAGTGTCCCTGGATGTGCGTATGTGCGTGGAAGTGTCATGTCAGATGGACGGCCAAGGAGGAGTGTGTAAGCCTTGAAATGGCCTCACTTGCCAATAGTTCCAAAGACGTAATTAGCAATTACTGTTAATAATAGTAATATCGGGGACGCCTGAGTGGCTCAGTGGTTGAGCATCTGCCTTCGGCTCAGGGCATGATCCTGGGGACCCAGGATCGAGTCCCACATCAGGCTCCCTGCATGGAGCCTGCATCTCCCTCTGCCTGTGTCTCTGCCTCTCTCTCTCTCTCTCTCTCTCTCTCTCTATCTCTATCTCTATCTCTATCTCTATCTCTATCTCTATCTCTCTGTGTGTGTCTCTCATGAATAAATAAATAAAATCTTTAAAAAAATAATAGTAATATCGGCAGCCACTTGCACTGCATGCAGGCCAATGCCCTGGCCTACGCTAAAGACTTCACATGTTATTTGATTAAATTGTCCAGTAAACCTGAGAGGGAACATGGCTAACGTCTCTTTATATATGAAAGCCAAGGATTAAGTAGCTTCTGTGTCTGATGAGCCACAGTTTTGGAATCCAAACCCAGATTTGCTGGATCCTGGGCCTCAGAACCCTGAAGATACAAGGGTAGAAGTGGGGACATGTCCTGAGCTGTGACTAGAAGACATGGGGAAAACATCTTGGGCCAAGAAGGGGACAGTGAAGTCGTCCCCTTGTCCTGGATGGGCCCCTCTCCTCCGTCTTGCAGCCGGCCCTGGACTGGTGCCATCCTGCCACCAGATCCCCCCAGCCTGCCTGCCCCAGCTCCGCCGTGACCAAGCTTCCCCCCCACACACTCTGCTTCTCTAGCTGCTTCCTCCTCAAGAGACAACCACAGAGCCACTGGCCAACATGAATGCCACCGGGCACCATCCGCACCTCTTCCACCGTGGCTATGCCCACAGACAGTGCCTGGGGAGGCAACGTCCCCACTGGTGTCCTCCAAGCCCGGCTGCCTCAGCCCTGACCCCGCCGGGAGCCTGAGCTCAGCCCCTAGGTGCATTTTCCTGGGTGACTGAGCAGCCGAGCAGAGTGGAGCCGCCCAAGGCCAGGGATCGGTCGGCCCCACGGAGCACTGCTGTTGGTCAGGATGGTTTCCTGCTCAGAATCACACGAACTAATCAAAACAGCACAGTGGGGGGATTTTTCTGGGGGGTTCAGCTCTCTGGAGAGTTAGGTCTGTACCTCCTGCCTTCTGGGTCCCACAGCAGGAAGGGCCCAAAGAGCTCTGCATGGGCACAAGGGCACACACACCCGTACCATTGCCCGGGGCTGTCCCTTCCTCCTCCTGTCATGCCAGAAGGAAAAGAAATGTGAGAAGAACCCAAGGGGTCTTCGTCGACCCTGCTTGTCCCACCACAATCACTTTTTAGCATAGCTCCCTATTTACTCCAGCATGATGCCAAAGTTGCTTGGATTGTCTTTTCTCAAAAGCATCTCACTTGGTACAACATGTCTCGTCCTTCTGGAGAAAATCGTGGGTGGAGATCTAAGCCAACAGTCGGGGGGGGGGCGACCCAGACCCCCTTGTGCAGGACAGACGGTGCTCCCTTTGGACAGATTTCTGTGGCTTTCTGTTTCTAGATCCAGCACCCTTAGTTCCAGGTGAAGAGCTCCCAGGGCCTTCATCACGTTGCCGGGCTAACCCCAGCCCCGGCTGCCGGGAGGACACACGGCAAGGTCGGAGTCGGCTGCAGCAGGTTTGAAAATCCATCAGTTGCCTGCTGATTACCTGGTGCCTGAGGGGGCGGGGGAGATGCTTCACGGGCACGTCGGCTCTGATCCACAGCCCATCGGTAAGGCTGATTTTTATCGTCCCTGGCTCACAGGTGAGGATGCGGGGTTGAATGACATGCTCAGTGAGGTGGAGCTGGGGAGACGCAGAGCCCGGGTCTTGGCCCTGCCAGGCCAGTGAGCTCTGTGCCCAGCCCCAGCCGGGCAAGGCTAGAGGGACAGGTTATGCCTCACCACTACCCCAGGTGTTTCGATAGCAAGCCTGACACGCTTTCCATCCATGGGGAGCCCACCTGGTGAACACCACCCCCCTCTAAGCGAGGCTTCCCCACCCCAGCACTGCAGGGCGCTTTGGCCCAGCCCCTCCTTTGTGGTGGGGCCATCCTGTGCACGGTAGGCGGTCAGCAGCTACCCTGGCCTCTCCGCACCCACTGGAAGCCAAAAGCATGTCTCCCTCCCTGGCAATTGTCTCCAGGCATTGCCAAATGTCCCCCGGGGCAGGGGGTGGAAGGCAAAACTGCCCCTAGTTGAGAATTCCTGACTTAAAACAATAATTCGATGTAGTTGAGCTAGACAGTGTTTACAGGATAATCTTTTTCCCATTTGCTACTCAAATGTGAGTGAATGTAAAGAAATGATGGCGGGGGGGCGGGTGCGGGGGGGGCTCCATGAATGGAAAAATATGCCCGTGGGTGACGACTTCACTGTTAGGAAACACGAAGCATTAGTCTCCACTACCTGGGTTGAAATGGCTTTGCTCTCGTCGTTATATGGGATCAGGGTCTGCTGGCCTTCCTCACACACGACAGGGCGTCTGGGCTTGGCTTCAGACACAAAATAGCATCGCAGCAGGAACAGCAGAGTGGCTGCAAGGAGACAGAGCAGGGGATTGAGTTGGACAGCCCGTCTTCATCAGAGTCTCAACAGGATCTTGTTCTGATAACTGGTAACTCAGCCATGAATGGACATGGTCAAACTGTGTCTCGGTCGTCTCTGTAGCTATAGAATCAGCACGGCTCGGGCACACGTAGGTGCTAGATAACTTTTGGTTATGTCGATTAATACCCTGTGACCAATAATATTGTATGGTTTAATTGAAAATCTAGCCTTCTTATTTGTGTCTTCCAAGCCCAGGAGCCTAGATACCTGCTCACGGTTGCTCCTAGCGCTCCTGCGAACCACAGCACTCATCTATGGGGTCGTTGCTATAAACTGCTGCCTACTGAATAGGAGAAGCTGCTTTCACCCAACAGGCAGCATCTCTGACCAGGTTGGGAATGAGTGATCTGAGCCTGGGGTCATCCTCAAGGCATCCCCCTGATTCCTGCCATCTTCTGCTCCCCGCCACAGAGGACTCTACACCGCTGGCTGGCGGCCTGGGGAGGGGAGCCGCATTGCCAGGACAGCCTGCAGGCTACCAACCTGCCAGGATCATGAACGCTGCACAGGGAGGGACCAGGGCACCCACGAGGAGCCCAGGTCCTGCGACCGCGACCAATGGCTCGGCACACGTGACTCCACCGAGACAGGCACAGATCCTCACGTAGACAATCTGCTTCTGGGAAAGGCCCTGTTTGTCTCCGATGAAAAGTGGCACTGAGTAATTACCCGGAGGGAGGCTTCTCGACATTAAAAGTTCAACTGACCGACCTGCGAAGGAAACAGGCGTTGCGTGATTGTCTTGCTCATTTGCTCATCGACTCAACAGGTGTTTACTAAGTCCCTCCCATGTGCCACGGCTCTGTACAAAAGTTAGCCAACTCTGAAGGCAGAGGAGATAGTCTCCAAGGCCACCCTCATGTCTGCCTGACACCAGCTGCAGGTCCAGGTTCTCAAGACCATGTTCAAGGTTGAAAATCCTCTAGAAGGACCCACAGAACTCACTGAAGGGTGTATACTCATTGTTATGGTTCGTCAAGCAATAGGGTATGGATTAAAATCAGCCAAGGGAAGACACACATAGGGCAGAGTCCAGAGAAGCACCCAGTGCAGGGCTCCCAGGCCTCCCATGGAGTCAGGACAGTATCTCTTCCCGCATCAGTAGGTGACGATATGCTTGGAGTGCTGACAGGCAGGGAAGCTCCCCTGAGCCTTGCCCCCAGGATCTTTCTCAAGACTCGGTCATGTTGACCTGGTTGGCCACCCAATGGCTGACCTTGGTCCCCAGCACTGCCAGAGATCAACAGAGGCCCACATGACCCAAAGTCTGCACCCTAAATCAAGTCCCTATCTGATTGGCATGAGACCTGAGGTAAACAAAGACACTCCTTTCAGGAAAGACATCCCAAGGGCCTAGAGATCACTTCCCAGAAGCCAAGGGCAAAGGCCAAAAAGCTCTTCGGGGAGCGAAGTTCAACGGTTTACTACACACTCTGGGCCTGGAAACTGTAAACATGAGCTCATAGTTTCATCTAAAAAAAACGTGCTATATTCTACGGATGCAGATAGAAGCTCAGTGGAGAATGTTGGCAGGGGATGCAGTGGCTTCTCCCAGTAAGAGCACCCCCATCTTCCTTCAGGAGAGCCCACAGCTCCTGGGCAATCAGCTCATGCAGACCAGGAGATGCAACACCCAGACCCCAACAAGGCCCTTCATGGGCTCAGAACCAGCCAATCAGCACATCTGCCCTCCCAACTCCCACTTGCAATAATCAGTGGGGCCCCTGACCCAGGCTGCACCGTGATACAAATCTTCTTGCCAGGTGCTAGGTTGAGTCCTGGGGACCCCCAGCAGCCACCCTGCCACCCTGGAGGAGAGCCCCCCTGAAAATGAAGGAGCCCAGGGAAGAGCAAAGGCACAGTGTGCACATCCTCCAGGGAGGCCCCTTGAGCTGCTAGACCCAGCTCTGCTAGGACACAGGCTTTGCTGGCATCTTTCTCAGTTACGAAAGCCAGTAAGATCCTTTTTTTTTTTTTTTTTTTTTTTTTTTTTTTGGCCTGGGTCAGAGTCAGGTTATTTTCCATCCTTTGTCCCAGGCCAAGACAAATACTCACCCTGGTTTTTCCCCAATTTCCATGCGTCTCCATCACTTCCCCACGAATTGTCCAATTCAAATGTAAAGGGGTCTGCGTAGGGCTCCAGGTCACTGTCCTCTGCCCGGAGGAGGAGGCTCTGGTTTGCTGCAGACTCACAGAGCTCCAGGAATCGAGAATGGGGATGCAGAGTGGGGGCGTTGTCGTTGACGTCCGACAGGAAAAGCATCAGGGTCCCTGTCCCTGTCTTTGGGGGGAGGCCTGGAAGTGGGGGTGTTCCGGGAAGGGTTGCTTGTTAAGTAAAGAGCCTGCTCGATGCATGCAAACCCCTGGACAATGAGCATTCCTCTAGGTGCTTGCTCTGTTTTCCTGCTTTTCTGAAAATTCAGAATATCGGGACACCTGGGTGGCTCAGTGGTTACACGTCTGCCTTCGGCTCAGGGCATGATCCCAGGGTCCTGGGATCAAGTCCCATGTCAGGCTCCCCGCAGGGAGCCTGCTTCTCCTTCTGCCTGTGTCTCAGCCTTACTCTCTGTGTGCCTCTCATGAATAAATAAAATCTTTTTTTTTAAGAGGAAAAAGAAAATTCAGAATATCTGGGAAAGGTAGGTTAACAAAACCCTTGCCACCTCAATCATCTGTAGAACAGGGGAGAATATGGAATCATTCGTTTTTCCCAGCATGAATCATGTCAGGTGTAAATAAGGGAGTGGGACAGGAGTGACACAGGTGTGACATGGTGATAGAAACGCCCTGCCTCTTGGCTGTGTCCACATCGGTACTCTGGTTGTCACCTTGCATCACAGTCTCACAAAGGGGACCCTGGCAGTGGGTACTGTGGAGCTCACTACGTTGTTTCTTCTGGTCCCCGGAAGATGGACCCCCCATCCTTGCTCTCTCCCCACTTAGGACTGATTAGGAACACAGGTGTAACATCTTCCTAACTGACCTCCTGCTAGTTCATCACACCGATGGGACATACACCTACATTTCCCTTAAAACCTGGGCTTCGACTCACAGATTTCCTTGAACGCAATTCTTAAAGTTATTTGAGAGTTGTTATTTATTCCACTTTGTGTTTTGGCAGGTTTCAAAGTCCAACCTCAGGAGATCACAGAAAAGCACCGTAACGTGCTCAGAGCACTGCCTGCCCTGGTTTATGACAAGTTTGCCCTGCGCGGTCACATTTACCCGAGCTGATAAGCCATTCCAAGTTCAGGGAAACCATGCTAAATATTTATCACACACCACCAGCTTTGAGGAAGAGCTAAAGAGTTGCTTTATGGACAGACTTTGGGTCTGATGGCAGCTTCCCCAGAGGCCTAATCGTCTCTTCTGAGTGAGTCCCACCCCTCCTCCCATGTCCCTGGTCTGCCATTTCAAAAATTTTTGTGAAAAAATAGTTGCCAGTTAGGATGCATAGTGCAAAAAAGGTCTATTTTATATGTTTTTCCCAGTTGCACTGAAAGAGTCTCACTGGTATGATTTTCCCCCAGGAAGCAAGGAAACACACTTCCCGCCCCAGTTTTGGGTGAACACTTACCGTCGTCAACAGCATGTGCGATGATCGTGTAAAAGCTGTCATTTACATAAGGGGATTCTCGGTCAATTTGCTGCCTGGTGGTAACTGTCCCCGAGAGTTCATCTACGGTGACCCAATTTGCCGGATCATAAGCCAGTTTATATCTTGTAGGAGGAAACACATGCAATTTTTAGAATTAAAAAGTCACATCGAAAGGCAAATCAAAATATGTCATAAGCAGACACAGGTCCTATCACAAGTAATATGGAAAACCAGACGTGGAATCACACAGAATTTGTTTTTTGTGACTGGCATATTTCACTTAGCATAATGTCTGCAGGTTGATCCACGTTGCAGCATATTGAAGAACATCCTTGCTTTTTTTTTTTTTAAGGCCGAATAACATTCTGCTGCACGTATACACCACATTTTGCTTCTCCGCTCCTCCTTCAATGGACACTTGGGTTGCTTTGGCATTTTAGCTATCATGAATAATGCAGCTTTGAACGAGGGCGTACAAATATCTCTCTGAGATCCTGCTTTCAATTCTTTGGGTATCTACCCAGCAGGGAAACTATGGATCATATGGTGTTCCACTTCGAATTTTCTTTGAGGAACCACCATACTGTTTTGCACACCAGCTGCACCAACTTATATTCCCACCAACCACGCACAAAGGTTCCCATCTCTCCCTTGCCAACACTTGTTTTCTGGTTTTTTGATAGTTGCCATCCTTATGGGTAGGAGGTGTAGTTTTGATCTGCATTTCCCTGATGATTAGTGATGTTGCGGGTCCTTCATGTGCCGATTGGCCATTTGTATAACTTTTCTGGAGAAATGTCTCTTCAAGTCCTGTATCCACTTTTAGATCAGATTGTTTGTGTTTTTCTGATCCTGAATCTTAGGGGTTCTCTATATATTCTGGAATTAATTCCTAATCAGATATAGGACTTACAAATATTTTCTCCCATCCTGTGAGTCACCTTTGTGCTCTGTGAATAACAGTGTGTTCTCATGCACAAAATGTTTTGATTTTCATGAGGTCCAATTTGGCTATTTTTTCCTTTGT